GAAGAATGTGTATTCTGTGGATTTGGGGTGGAGAGTTCTGTAAATGTCCACCAGGTTTGCTTGCTCCAGGTCTGAGTTCAAGCCCTGGATATCCTTGTTGATTTTCTGTCTGGTTGATCTGTCTAGTATTGACAGTGGAGTGTTAAAGTCTCCCACTATTATTGTGTGGGAGTCTAAGTCCTTTTGTAAGTCATTAAGAACTTGCCTTATGTATCTGGGTGCTCCTGTGTTGGGTCCATATATGTTTAGGATCGTTAGCTCTTCTTGTTGTATCGATCCTTTTACCATTATGTAATGGTCTTCTTTGTCTCTTTTGATCTTTGTTGCTTTAAAGTCTATTTTATCAGAGATGAGAATTGCAACTCCTGCTTTTTTTTGCTTTCCATTAGCTTGGTAAATCTTCCTCCATCCCTTTATTTTGAGCCTTTGTGTATCCTTGCATGTGAGATGGGTTTCCTGGATACAGCACACTGATGGGTTTTGGATTTTTATCCAATTTGCCAGTCTGTGTCTTTTGATTGGTGCATTTAGTCCATTTACATTTAGGGTTAATATTGTTATGTGTGAATTTGATACTGCCATTTTGATGCTAAGTGGCTGTTTTGCCTGTTAGTTGTTGTAAATTCTTCATTATGTTGAAGCTCTTTAGCATTCAGTGTGATTTTGGAATGGCTGGTACTGATTGATCCTTTCTATGTGTAGTGCCTCTTTTAGGAGCTCTTGTAAAGCAGGCCTGGTGGTGACAAAATCTCTGAGTACTTGCTTGTTCGCAAAGGATTTTATTCTTCCTTCACTTCTGAAGCTCAGTTTGGCTGGATATGAAATTCTGGGTTGAAAGTTCTTTTCTTTAAGAATGTTGAATATTGGCCCCCACTCTCTTCTGGCTTGTAGTGTTTCTGCCGAGAGATCTGCTGTGAGTCTGATGGGCTTCCCTTTGTGGGTGACCTGACCTTTCTCTCTGGCTGCCCTTAGTATTCTCTCCTTTATTTCAACCCTGTTGAATCTGACGATTATGTGCCTTGGGGTTGCTCTTCTTATGGAATATCTTTGTGGTGTTCTCTGTATTTCCTGCAATTGAGTGTTGGCCTGTCTTGCTAGGTGGGGGAAGTTTTCCTGGATGATGTCCTGAAGAGTATTTTCCAGCTTGGATTCATTCTCTTTGTCCCCTTCTGGTACACCTATCAAACGTAGGTTAGGTCTTTTCACATAGTCCCACATTTCTTGGAGACTTTGTTCATTCCTTTTTGCGCTTTTTTCTCTGATCTTGGTTTCTCGTTTTATTTCATTGAGTTGGTCTTCGACTTCAGATATTCTTTCTTCTGCTTGGTCAATTCGGCTATTGAAACTTGTGTTTGCTTCGCGAAGTTCTCGTATTGTGTTTTTCAGCTCCTTTAATTCATTCATATTCCTCTCTAAGGTATCCATTCTTGTTATCATTTCCTCGAATCTTTTTTCAAATCTTTTTTCAAGGTTCTTAGTTTCTTTGCATTGATTTAATACATGATCTTTTAGCTCACAAAAGTTTCTCATTATCCATCTTCTGAAGTCTAATTCCGTCATTTCGTCACAGTCATTCTCCGTCCAGCTTTGCTCCCTTGCTGGTGAGGAGTTTTGGTCCTTTCTAGGAGGCGAGGTGTTCTGGTTTCGGGTGTTTTCCTCCTTTTTGCGCTGGTTTCTTCCCATCTTTGTGGATTTGTCCGCTGGTCGTCTGCGTAGTTGCTGACTTTTCGTTTGGGTCTCTGAGTGGACACCCAGAATGTTGATGATGAAGTATTTCTGTTGCTTGGTTTTCCTTCTACCAGTCTAGCCCCTTCGCTGTACGACTGCTGAGGTCCGCTCCAGACCCTGCTTGTCTGGGGTGCACCTCTAGTAGCTGTGGCACAGCGAGGGATGCTACCAGTTTCTTTTTCTGCCCTCTTTGTCCCAGGATGATGCCTGCCTAATGTCAGTCTTTTGGATATAGAGGGGTCAGGGAGCTGCTTGAGGAGACAGTTTGTACTTTATAGAGGTTTAATTCTTGAGCTGTGCACTCTGTTGTTCATTCAGGGCTGTTAGGCTGCTATGTTTTATTCTGCTGCAACAGAGCTCGTTAAAACCCCCCCCCTTTTTTTTTTTTCTCAAATGCTCTGTGTTGAGGGGTTTGGGCTTTATTTTTGGATGTCTGATCTAGTGTCCTGCCCAGCTAGAAGGCAGACTAGCCACTGTTTGGCTGCCGAGGCTCCGCCCTGCTGTTGTGTGATTCGCGCTGTTCCTGCAGGCTCTGCTGTGGTCTCCGCCACGCCATGCGGCGGAGTCTCTTTGTTGTAGCGTGTTGCCTCAGCAACAGTAGGCTGCGTCAGCAGTGGGCGTGTATCTCAGTAGGGACGGGTTGCCTCGGCAACGACTGGCTGCGTCAGCAGTGGGCATGTATCTCAGTTGGGGCGGGTTGCCTTGGCAACGACTGGCTGCGTCAGCAGTGGGCGTGTATCTCAGTTGGGGCGGGTTGCCTCGGCAACGGCTGGCTGCGTCAGCAGTGGGCGTGTATCTCAGTTGGGGCGGGTTGCCTCGGTAGTGGTGGACGCCCCTCCCCAACAGAGCGTCTTGGACCGTCTGCTCGGGATAGTTTGAAATCGCGGTTTTGTTCGTCCCACTGGGTATCCCAATCCCTGCAATCCCCCGGGCTGGGCTACTGTGCAAGTCTCGTTCAGTCTCAAGTCCAGCCCTCTCAAGTCTCAGGTTGCCGGTTCAACAGGGCACCCGGACAAGCGCGCCCTGTGGGGATTGCTGGGTAGGGCCGGCCGCCGCCGTCCCGGCTGCCGGCTTTGCCAGGCAGACCTACTGCCTGGCGTCCCGTGTCTTTTTTATACTTGGGAGTTTCCCCGTTCCGTGGGCAACAAAGATCAGTCTGGAAATGCCGCTCTGACTCACCGTTTGCGGATTCATTGAGAAGAGCTCCACTCCTGGGTTGTTCTCACAGCGCCATCTTGAGTCCCTCCCCTAAACTCACACTTTCTATTAGTGGGATAGGAAGAATGTAGGCATGTTTCTATGCAACACAGAAGTGAAGAGACCGATAAACCACTAAGATCTAGGAGGAGACCAGGTGGTGCTCACGGATTCTTGGCTGAGGTCTGGAAGGGCTGAGGAATTTGCCGCCAGGGTCTGTCTTAGCAGGATATATCGGCCCCATCTCCAACAGGAGAAATGGGAGGACAGGGCTTCACCCTGTCTCCTGGCGCAAGAGAAGCCTTGAACTTTGGTGGACAGCTGTACGCGTCCCTTCCAACCAGGTACCTCAGTATATTCACAGGCCTTCTTTTTCTCTGCAGGATCCAGTACATATTTCCGCCAGCTCCTCCAAAATGGGAATTTATCTGGAGTGCTACCCTTTCTTTGGAATTTCCTTATCTCTTCATAGCAAGTCTATTCACTCATTAAAACCCAGGTCAAAGTCATCTCATCTGGGAAGACACGAATGCTCTTCCAGAAGGAGTCTCTCTCCCCACCGCTCGGTCACCGCCTTTCTCCTATCGCACTTCTCCTCGGCTTGTGTGTCTGCCTCACCCGTGAGACTGTACCCAGCACATGTCAGGCACGCAGCAGGATTTCCACAGAAGGATGTGGACTGGATGGGTGCCCCAAGGGAAGGAGAGGCACACAGGAGGCTGACCACAAATGACATTTCTGCTTTAGACTTGTCAGCCCCCGTCACTACAGTTTCCCTCCTGCTATGAGGAAAACTCAAGAGATGAGTGATGGGTGGGCTAAGACAGCAAGCTGGGAGCTGGTGAAGATGGAATGGGCAGACCTTGGCTGTCAGTGGGCTTTTGCCAGCTGATACTCAGAAACCCTAGCTGCATCAAGGCGAGAAGCCTCATTTCTGTAAAGGACTCCAAGGATTCCACGGTGCTCTGCAAAGGTAACGCGTTCTTGTTGCTGCTCTTTTCCTCTACTGTAGCTGTTTATAACCTTGTTCATTAACTGGCAGGATTCTTGGCTGAAGTCAGTCCGCTGCCTTCCCCCACGAGGGGAACAACTGATGACCTATTTCTGTGAATTCCATGGTGCCAGGCCTGGGCTGATCTGGACCCACATTAATACATGCCAGGGGGCAAACACTGAAGTATGTTCTGGCAGACCCCTTAGACCAGTCGGTGCAGTTTTTAGCAGTATAGACACCCAGTGCACTCATTACAACAAGATTTCCTAGGGCCTGTTTTATAAATAGAACTTCAAATAGATTCAGGTTTGAACTATCAGGGAGGGTGACTCTGAGCCGTCACTTGGCACAGAACTCTTGGAAAACCCTGATCGTTGGTCACTGCTCACCATCTCCCTAGAAGACCAGTGAGGACTGCTGTCCCCGCCAACCCCTCACTTCAGAGAGGCGGGGAAGGGAAATTCCAAGCTGAATGCCTTGCATTTGGGCCACAGGAGTTGCTCTACGGGCGAGGTTGGAATTTTGGATCTGGGGAATTTCTTCCTGGTTGGGGGCAGATCTATGCAGGCTGTCAAGGAAGAAGTCCTACTGTCCACACTCACACTTTCCCCGGAGCTAGGGGCTCTCTGGAGGGAAATGACCCCTTCGCCTTTATTTGTAGAAATATCATGGCCCAACAACGGCCTTCACCATGGGGAGAAGCTGGGTCAAAGCTGAGGTCAGAAAGACCAAGGGAGGCCGAGAAAGGGCCAGAGAAACAAAGAAGTCTCTGTGCTTAGTGCTGCTTTGTTGCCCAGACCCTGCACTCTGCTCCCCGTGGTCTCCCTTGGAGGAGGAGAGGGGGACAGGAGAGGAGGGGGAAGGAGGAGGAGGGGAGGGGGATGGGGAGGAGGGGGAGGAGGAGGGGAGGGGGGCAGGAGGGGAGGGGGAGGAGGAGGGGGAAGAGGAGGAGGGGAGGGGGCAGGAGAAGAGAGGGAAGGGGGAAGAGGAGGAGGAGGGGAGGGGGGCAGGAGGGGAGGGGGAAGGGGGAGGGGGGGAGGAGGAGGAGGAGGAGCGCGTTGCTAACGTGCGCAGCCCTTACCCGAGCCAGGCGGTCGTGCGCATCCACCGGATCTCAGGCCCGGCGTCTGTGGCGGCTCTCGGTTACCATGGTAACCGTGCCCGCAGCCTCCCTGCCCCATCTAATCTCGCGTGTCAGTGGGTGGCGGGAGTTCTAAGCCTTTGCACCTGCCGTCGCCTTCCGGTTCCCATCGTCTCTCCCGGTGGGGAACTGCCTGGACCGAGCGTTATCTTCCTGCCGTCTGCGAGGAGGTCGCCTGGGTCAGGGGAAGTCGCAGCCGTGGGGACTGTTTCCCTGAATGGAGACTGTTCACCTCAGACCGCCAGGCCGGGACTTTCTCGAATCCTGGGGCCCAGCGCTGAGCTCGTGGCTGCTTAGATGGAGGGATGGGACATGTGGCTCTCACTGGAGCTGGTCCCCAGGACAAGGCCCTCAGCAGCCTGGATGACCACCCCTCTACCCTCCAGTGCTTTCCAGGGCTGCCCTGAACGAGACAGTCCCACCAAGGACTCTGGTCTGGGGCCAAGGGTTGGAGAAAGCCAAGTTCCCACGCCCTGGGAAGGACGTGGAGCTGCAGAGCGGTCGGTGGGGAGGAGGCTGGGCTGGAAACGGTTTCTATCCGCGTGGGCATCTATCCTGGTCAGTCGTCACAGAGGTTTCAGAGGGACCTCAGTCGTTGAGGTGTTTGCAACTAGCGCTTTCATTTCCCGTTCTAGATAAACATTCACTTTTACACCTAAATTCATTCTTAGAATTTTTTATTCCTTTTCTTGAAGAGGGTCCATCAAATCGTATAGGCTCCGGGTGTTCACAAAACCTGAACAATCATGAGTACCTTGCACGTGTCAGGTGTTTGCTAGAGGGTTTTTCAACATTGTCTCTTGCTCCCTGTGCAAGGGTCTTGGGAGGAGGGTGGGAATACTTCCAAAAAAGGGAAGTTCAGTGGAAGAGTTGTGGGCACAGAGAACCCAAGGCTCACCTGCTTGCTGATCCCACAGGAGCTAAGCACGTGGTGGGTGACAGATGACGGTCTGTGACCCTCCCCCTCCGGAGGTGGAGAAAGTTGGAGAAAACTGAAGAGTGGCCAAGTCCGCACCAGTATCAGAGGGTATGGGGAGGAGTCTGGGAGGAACGGGAAGACAGAGGTCCTGTGAAGTGTCCAAAGGACTCTTTAGACCACACTCCAGGGATCTCTTGAAGCACCAAGGAGGAATTTGAGGCTCTGCCGATGATGGGGATGGTGATGAGGATGGAAACTGGTCAAAGACGACTTCTGAGAGCTGCACCTCTCAATTACACTCACGGGCAAGGCCTAGGGCTGGCTTGGGGAAACTTCTATACCCCCTGTTGTCTCCATCGGCCTCACCTGGATCTAAGTAAAACGTGTTCGTTGTGCAAACACCGCTCCAGGCAAGTTTCCGAGCCCCCCGCTTCCAATAGTCCCTGCACCTGAGTCGCAGTCACACAGACATTTCCGTGTCCACTCACTGGTGGCTGGAGTCTTGTCTGTTGTCATAAGACCTTCCAGAAGGTGGTGCTCATAGGTTTTGTTTAAAATGTTTTTTTGTGGATTGTCTCATTACATAATTTATCGATATTTTATTAAACACTTACTTGGCGCTAGCGTTGTTCTCGGAGGTGTTGGAGACACGAACTGAGCAAAACAGACTACATTTCTGGTTTCAAAACAGTTTTTAAAGTTGTAATGTTTATACTCTCAAGGTGAAACTAACAGTGATGTAAGTTCCTCCATTTACGTTGCTGATATTATGCTGCATTTACTACAGCTGCACATTTTTCTTTCTCTAGACTGTAAGGCTTGAAGGAAATACAGATTCTTTTATTATTTGGCTGGGGAAAGAATTACCTTTTATCTGTCTGTGTAAGCCGCCTTCTGAGATCTAGCCTTTCACTAGGGAAACACCAAATCTTAATTTGGATAATTTCAAATTGTTGTTAAACATCAGCTGATCATTCTGGGGGGTCTCAGCTCTTTGGGTTTGCCTGACATCTGAGTAAATTCATGGCTCCTTTTTACGACAAATTCTGATAGGTCTTTCAGGTATTCCAGTGACCTGCCTTCAAGTAAGGGTGAAATGGACTTTGGGTGAAATTTATCAGACTCTTCTGTGTTTCATTAAAAAAAACAGTCAGCCCAGCTACTTGACCATCTACCCCAGAGAATATGTACAAAGAGCTCGTCTTGCTGAAGGCAAGTTTGAAATCACAGTTGCAAGAGACAGGATGAGGTCCACGTGAACTGCCCGCTCCCCCAGGTTCGGCAAGCTCTACGCTTGTTCCAAGTTAGATTCCCGAAGGCAACATTTCCAGGACATTTACCACACGGGCTTGGCTGCTTCACTTATCTGTGATTGAAGAGTGTGCCCTTGGTTTTTATGGCAGGCTAACATAAAAATGGTCATAAAACAAGTGTTTCTGTACTTTGGCAGAAAGATCTGTTGAAGACATCCACCCTACGATTCCGTGCTTTTAATGTAAGGATGCACAAGAGCCCCAGATCCACGTCTAACCACCCGCTTGACCTGGCATTTCTACCTGGACGTTCTGTAGGCGGATGACGTCTAACGGGGCCCTGACTGAACTCCTGATCTTCCTTCACCATCTGCTCCTCGCTCAGTCTTTGTCATTCAGGAATCAGCAGCTCCGCTGCTCAGACCAAGCAGCCAGAACCATCTGGAGTCCTCTTTCTCTCTCTCCAGGCGTGCAACGTGTTATCAAGCCCTGTTGCCTCCATATCGGATAGCTTCTCCTTAGCTTCTCTGGACTGGGACACGTTACAGGTTCCCTGACTGACCTCTTGGCCTCTGCCCGCTGTTCTCCTACGTGCCTGTCCAACACAGCAGCAGGACCATCCTTTAAAATGCACCTGGTCCTAACACCTCTCCACGCAAAGTCTTCCTGTGGGTTTCCTTCGTCTTGGGAGGAAAACCCCTGAGGTCCCCACTTCCCATCCTTCCCTGCCCTACCCCTGACTTGACGTCCTTGTCATCTGTTCCTGATTCATGTTGCCAGGGCCACGCTGGCCTCCTGTGTCCCCATCTCTGGGCCTGGGCACTTGCGTTTCCTTCTGTCTGGAAGACTCTTCCCTAGATATCCACACAACCGCTGCCCCTTCCCCTCTGTGACTCTCCTCAAGTGTCACCTCCTCGGTGGGGCTTCCTAACCCCCCATGTATTCAAACTGCACATGGGGGGAGCTATATGAAAACCACAGCCCCTCTCTCTTTTCTCCCATTCAGCTTTACTTTTTTTCTACAGCACCTATCACTCTCTGACACATGAGATAGTCTCTTTATTGTCTGTCTCGTCCTACGGGAACGTGGGCTCCCTGTGGGTAGGGATTTTTATCTGTCTGTTCTGGTCTGCTCACTTCTGTATTCCAAAACCACCTAGAACACTGCTTGGGACATAGTAGGTTCTCAATGCACATTGATTGAATGTTTAATTAAAATCTTATGGAATTTAGTGTCAGGAGAAAAAAGATATTTCATGTTAAAGCAGCATGTCCTCAAGACATGATCGATGCGATACATTTTGTAATTTACTTTTTGGTTTTACTACCAGCAAGCTCAAAGTCAAATACAGGAGGAATTAGAATTATGGTCTCATCCATGGCTTAGGAATCTTCTTCTATATTGTTGGGTGGTTTTTTTTTTTTTGAAATGGAGTCTCACTGTGTCACCCATGCTGGAGAGCAGTCGCTATTCACTGGTGCACTCACAGAGCATCACAGCTTTGAACTCCTGGGCTCAAGTGATCCTCCAGCCTCAGCGCCCCCAGGTAGCTGGGACTACAGATACGGGCAGGGTGGCTGCACCTGGCTCTATATGGTTTTTATCGCCCTCTCTTTCCTTTTAACTTTCATTTGAACAAATCCATGCATAGGTTCATCCTCAGGTACCACTCATGGACCTTTCAGGCTTTTTGTAAATGTTTGTCAAGTGAATGCATTGCAAACCATTTTAATCCCTTTTGGAAATAAGTGGGATGTGTATATGTAATACATTATTAATGATCTCTGGTATAACTAAAAAGTAATGGGCTAGAAAGCAGTAGAAGCTTATTAGGGGAGAAGAGCTTGGTGGGAAAGTTTTCCCTGTGATTTATGGCTAGGGTGAGTGTAGGATTCATCACCCAGACTGGGACCCTTGTGGCAGTGAAAAGGGAGATATGGATGATGCTGCTTGGACAGCAGGCAGGAACTGGGACCATTCTGGAAAACTAGGACGAATGGCCGCTTTTAGCAAAGGTTATTATTATTATTATTATTATTATTTTTTGAGACGGAGTTTAGCTCTTGTTACCCAGGCTGGAGTGCAATGGCGCGATCTCGGCTCACTGCAACCTCTGCCTCCTGGGTTCAGGCAATTCTCCTGCCTCAGCCTCCTGAGTAGCTGGGATTACAGGCACGCGCCACCATGCCCAACTAATTTTTTGTATTTTTAGTAGAGACGGGGTTTCACCATGTTGACCAGGATGGTCTTGATCTCTTGACCTCGTGATCCACCTGCCTCGGCCTCCCAAAGTGCTGGGATTCCAGGCGTGAGCCACCACGCCCGGCCCAGCAAAGGTTATTATTTACCAATAATAGTTCAAATGTATTTTCCCCTTTGACCATAGTCAGGAGTTTATTTAACCTTTCTCACCACACCTTACTCAAGACTTATTAACAACTTAGAATTTTAAAAACATTCATGAGTTAGGCTCTGAAGTTCAGAAAAGTAGACTAAGTAAAATGGGTTTCATTGCCAGGATGAAACAAAAGCCACTGTGAGGTGCCACCAGCGCTGAATGGAGACACTTCCTCTACATCAGAAAAGAGTTTCCACCGCAGATCGACTTTCGTTGTTTCTCTTCCAGCATTGACTTTGGCAGAGGATTTTTAAAACCTGGAAAAGAGGAAGCAGTGAAAAGCAACAGAATCAAAGGGGACAAACAGGAGGATACTGAGTAGAGTTACTCCCTGAGCCCAGAGAAATTCTGCTGGTTTCCACAGGCAGCCCCCGCCACTCCTTTCCCCTGAACTCCTGGGTGCACTGTGAGCTAGGTCTGCTGTCTGCCGATCCCTGGATGGGCAGAAGTGAGCGGGCCTCGCTTCTCTTCCTGCTTTATTCCCAAAGCCAGGCTTTCTCTTCTCTTCAGCTACTAGTCTCGAAATGACTCATTCAAGTCCAGTTCCTTAGGTTGCTGGTAGTAATGAGAGAACCCAGAGCCCAGCTGAAGTTTCCAGAGGTAACATCTATCGCTTTGTAGCATCTGCCCGTTACACTGTGGAGCCAAAGGAGGTTAGGCTGATAGCAATTTGCTTTTCACAAAACCAAGCTGATGGCTTCTTCGTACCTCACACTGTTCCATTGGCTGAAATGGACTCAGGGAAAATCTGTTTTAACATCGTCCAGATATTTCAGTTTGGCAGAATACTCTAAAATTGCCAGGGGCACCTTTTTTCTTCACAAAGCAGGGCGCTAGCTTTACCCTCTTTCAGAACCCAGGCACGGGGGCCTTGCTCTGCCCCGTATCAGCTTCTTACTCATCACCAGGGTCCGTGTGTCGTGTCCCGCTAGGTGGTGAGAC